GTGTGTGTGTGTGTGTGTGTGTGTGTGTGTGTGTGTGCGTGCGTGTGCGCGTGCGCATGCATATGTCTGTGTCCATGCACATGTGTTTTGGGGAATAGTGTGAAACTAAGGAAAAGAAGAAAACCAATAATAACAAAGTCAAAGAACCCATGTTGTATTGCAATTAAAAACTAGCAAAACAGTAGATTTAACAAAATATTTTGATTGATTTTATCTTCATGCTGCTTGACCAGTTTCAAGTCACAGGCTGGTTTGTTTTGTTCTTCCCTTAAATTATTAAGGTATGGTCGCAGTTGTCAGTAACTTTCATGAGTAAGGGTGGGGGCTACAGTGTTTCAGGTGCTCTGTAGAGCAATTAAGAAAATATAAAAATTAGGGACTGGAAAGATGGCTCAGAGGTTTAAGAGCACTGGCTGCTCTTGCAGAGGATCTGGCTTCAGCTCCCAGCACCCACATGGGGTGGCTCAGAACTGTTATCTACAGCTCTAGGCATGTTAGTACATGTCTTTAATTCTAGCACTTGGGAAACAGAGACAGGTGGATCTCTGAGTTTGAGGCCATCCTGGTCTACGCAGAGAGTTCCAGGGCAGCCAGGGCTACATAGACCAGGGCTACATAGACCATGACTAAAAAAAGAAAGAAGTAGGGCAGATAAAAAGCCAGTTTTAACTTTCAAGTGCTTTTTTTGTGGGAATGGATACGTTTGAAAAGGCTGCCTTTGAGAGGGGCATATTTTCCCAAGCTGATTCCTTTGGACTCAGCTGCCTGTCCAGGCTCCTCCTCCCAGGTTTGGCTCACAGAGCAATTAGGTCGCATATCATGCAATCACAGAAAGGCAGAGTGACAAGTCCCTCTCCTTCTGTAAATGAGAAATGCCAAAGTTAGGGACAGAAGTGGAGCTGTATCTTCTGGCTGTGTTCCAACACAGCCACCCAGTCCCCCAGAGCTCCTCATCCCCAGGTCATCCATGTTTATTTCCACCCCATCCAGCATTCTATTCCCTGCCGTGCTGGCACAGGCCTAACTGACCCTGGTTTCCATGCATGTCCACAGAGAGAATGACATCACGCCAGTGCTGGACCATACCTTCTGCGTGGAGCACAATGCCTTTGGGAGGATCCTTCAGCACGAACTAAAACCCAATGGCAGAAACGTGCCGGTCACCGAGGAGAACAAGAAGGAATATGTCCGGTAATGTGCACGGTCAGCCTTGGTGGTGGCCTGCGGGGAGCAGCAGGTGTGCCCAGAGTTCATGTTCCAATTGCCATAGCAACTCCATTTGGCTGGCCAACTCTGGGTGCAGAGGGGGCAAGCAGGGGACAGCAGTGGCCTGAGGGTTCTGTGCTGCCACTGTCCAGGGACTCTACTCCAAGGCCAGGCGATCTAAGGAAAAAGGGTTTATTTCATCTTACGCTTCCAAGGCACAGTTCATCTTTGAGAGAAGTCAGGGCAAGTCAGGACAGGAGCCTGGAGGTAGAACCATGGAAGAACGCTGCTTACTGGCTTTCTCCTCTGGCCTGTGCTCAGCCTTTCTTTCTTTCTTTCTTTCTTTCTTTCTTTCTTTCTTTCTTTCTTTCTTTCTTTCTTTTTCCTTCCTTCCTTCCCTCCCTCCCTGCCTCCCTTCTCTCCCTTCTTTTCTTCCTTCTTTCCCTCTTTTTGATCTTTTTGAGACAGGGTCTTCCCTGTAGCCCCAGTTGGCCTTGAACTCATAGAGATCTACCTGCCTCTGCCTCCTGAGTGCTAGGATTAAAGCTTACACCACCATGCCTGGCTTCAGCCTGTTTTCTTTCTTTTTTAAAAATATTTATTATTTTTATTTTATCTCTATGAGTGTATTGCCTGCATGTATGTGAATGCACCTGTGTTGTGCAACACTGAGGAGGTCAGAAGAGGGCTTCAGATTCCCCTGGAACTGGAGTTAAGGACGGTTCATAGCTGCCATGTGGGTGCTGGGAATCGAACCTGGGTCCTCTGCAAGAGCAGTCAGTGCTCTTAACCGCTGAGCCATCTCTCCAGCCCCGAGCCTGCTTTCTTATACATCACAGGACCACCAGTCCAGGGGTGATACCACCCACAGTGGTCTGGGTCCTCCCAAGTCACTCAACATCAAGAAAATGCCTCATATTCCATAGAGGAAATTCCCCAGTTGAGGTTCCCTCTTCCCAGGTGTGTTAAGTTGACAGCTGAAGCTAATTGCAACACAGTTACTGTCCTTACAGACCCACTTTGGAATGTTGGCAGTTGTTCTGGCAGGCCTGAGTAAGCCCTACTGCTGTTTTCAGTAGAAAATCAGAATGCCATGCCGGGTGTGATGGCACATGCCTTTAATCCTGGCACCTGAGAGGCAGAGGCAAGCGGATCTCTGTGAGTTCAAGGCCAACCTGGTCTACCCAGTGAGTTTCAGGCCAGCTGGGGCTACAGAGAGACCCTGTCTCAAAAAAAAGATCCCCTCTCCCCAAGAAAAAAGAAAATCAGAATGCTTGAACTGGTTCATTTTTAACATGATATAGAGATTGGTTGCAGCTGGGTATGGTGTTGCATACCTATAATTCAGGAGGCTGAATCAGAAGGTGCTCCAGTTCCAGTCCAGCCTGAGCTACATAGGGAGTTCCAGTCTGGCCTGGTCTACAGAGGCCCTTTCTCCAGAAAAAAAATAAAATAATTAAAAACAGAAAAATGGAAGAAAAAAAAAAAAGATAGACAATAGCCAGGCATGGTATTGCATACCTTTAATCCTAGTACTCAGAAGTCAGAGGCAGGTGGATCTCTTTGAATTTGAGGCCAGCCTGGTCTACATAGTGAGTTCCAGGCTAGCTATAGCTAAATAATGATACCCTGTCTCAAAACAACAACAACAGAACAGACAGAAGCTAGGTGTGGTGGCACAGACCTGCAATCCAAGCACTCAGAAGGTAGTTGTAGGACTATTAGTTCAAGGCCAGCCTCTGCTACATAGCAAGTTTGATTTCAAGATCAGCCATGAGACCCTGTCTAGAAAGAGGAAGGTGGGAGTTGGGGGGAACCTAGACAGACAGACAAGGTGTTACAGGTTGGTTGGTTGGGGGTGTGGGGAGGGGTTTGCCTTGAATGGGAGGTGGGCTGGCGGTTGCTCTGCAGACTGCTGCTGCATTCTTGTGTTTGTTGTTTTGTTACATCTGTGCCGGCCACTGGGGGAACAAGTGCTTCCATGGCCCCTCCACTATGGCTTCCAACATGTGGGTTTTTCTTTCAGGTTGTATGTAAATTGGAGGTTTATGAGAGGAATTGAAGCCCAGTTCTTAGCGCTTCAGAAAGGGTTTAATGAACTCATTCCCCAACACTTACTGAAGCCCTTTGACCAGAAGGAATTGGAGGTATGTGCTGGGTGCATCGACAGCCCAGGTGTTCACTGAGGCTGCTGGTGTCTGAGGGATGGGATGGGTAAGGAGGGGAGCTGAGGGCATCTGTGCCAGCTTGTCACACTGTGAGATGTCTGTCCCCTTGGCAGCACTGAGTGAAGGCCTTGGATGTTTGAGATCTCTGGCCTGGAGATTCCACAGCCCTCACCCATGTGGTCACCTCAGAGCCAGGGACTGTCCTCACCTCTGTTACAGTCCTGCCCAACCCCAGCGCTCCACTTTCCATACTGGCTATTAATAGACAAGGAACAAAGTGTCGTTGTCATCTTCAGTCACATTTGTGGACTTGGACAGTGACTCATTCATCCCTTGCCTAACTCTGCCTGGTGCCAAGTGGCCCAACCCTTCCAGATTGTTCTCAGAGCCTTCTGTCCCTGGTGAGATGGAGAGTTTGGGAACAGAGCACCTCTGGATGTGGCAGTGGGTCTGAGTGAGCTTTTTAAGCCAATGGGGAGCAGAGCCCATGTCCCTTCAACCCACATAACCTGTTGAGTTCTCTCCCCATCAGAGGGTTCCCTCCATTCCCTCTTGCCAGCTCTGGGGCACACTGAGGGTTGCCCACTCTCACCCCTCACCAGTGAGAGCAAAGCCACCTCCTGGGAGTCAGAGCTAATGTCCTGTTGGTAGTTGTGTACTATATGCTGGGAAGCCCTGTGCCCCAGGCTCCTGCTTGTTCCTACTTTGCTCCTAACTTATCTGATTCACTTTGGTACTCTACTGTTAACTCTTTTTGTGTGTCACAGCCTAGGAGGTGTGGGGGGCAGTGGCCTATTCATTTTGGAAATAACACCTGTCTGACGTCCCTCCCCAGCTCATAATAGGTGGGCTGGATAAGATAGACCTGAATGACTGGAAGTCCAACACGCGGCTGAAGCACTGTGTGGCCGACAGCAACATCGTCAGGTGGTTCTGGCAAGCTGTGGAGACCTTTGATGAAGAGAGGCGGGCCAGGCTCCTGCAGTTTGTGACGGGATCCACTCGAGTCCCTCTCCAAGGTTTCAAGGCTCTGCAAGGTGACTGACATGGAGGCAGGGCCATCCCGTGAGGTGTTCCACTGACTGGTGTGTTCTGTGCTGCACCTGGGGAAGCAAGAGCTGCAGTGTGGGCTGTCCCTGTATTATGTCACCTGCTAGAAAATGATGGTGGCCAGTGTTCTCATAACAAACACTCAGCATGGGGGTGCCTGGCAGGTGTAGGGTCCCCACTGTACAAAGACCATGGAGCCACTTATGGTCTATGGGTTCCATATCCTCCCCCTTTAAAAAGCCAGGAGGCTGGAACATCAGGGGCTGTAGAGATACTTGGTGGGGACCACCAGCAGCCTCTTTATCCACAACCCATGGTGGGTCCCCACCTCATCTGTGCAGGCAGCCTGATGTTACATTACTTCAGGGCTTGGGGGGACATTGCTGATGGCTGGGGCTGTTAGGTGGTTGATACTGGAGCTTAAATACAAGAGATGCTCAGATTTGACATTGAGAACCTGACTGAAGGGCAAATGGTCCACCTCACTGACCCTGGTCCTGGAAGTACTGTTGTTTCCCTAGTGATATCTGCCCATAGAACTACTGGGGGGGCCTCTGCAGGAGTGCCAGGGTTCCCAGCCTAGCACCTTGGGTGGGGGGTTCTCCCATCCGCTTGCCCAGCACAGGCAGAGGATGTGAACAAGCACCCAGGAAGACTGGAGTAAGGGAAAGGTTGAGTAGCTGTTGCTCTCTGTCATTCAAAGTGTGGGAACAAAGCAATCTGTGCCTCAGCTACCCTAAAAAGAGCGGGTTTCCAGGTAGGTTGTGTGTGGGAGGGCTTTAAGTAGCCTGTGCTCTGCCCCAGGGTACTCAGAATCACTGGCTGTAGCACATGCCCTAAAACAGCCAAGGCTCATATTGCCTGTGGCCCCTGTGATCCCCTGGCAGACAGCCCTACTCCCTAAGAGCCATGTGGCCTGGCGCTCCCAGGCTTTGTCTTTGAAGTGCATTAACTAGAATGTTGTCTTGTAAGGCTCTACAGGCGCAGCAGGTCCCCGGCTGTTCACCATCCACCTGATAGATGCCAACACAGACAACCTGCCAAAGGCCCATACCTGGTAAGCTCTGCCACTGCAGGCAGCTGTGCCCTGGGGTGGGACTCAGCGCTAGTCCCTTGTGTTGTCCTCAGTAGAGCCTCACATCACACTCTGGGGTTAAATGGGACAAGTACTTGTGTCAGCAGGCCCCATGAGCACCATCAGAATGCTCTTGTGAAACTGATTTCTGTTGGGACTCAAGTAGTTAATGCTAGTGTTGTGGAAGCCACATGTGGCCACCATGCTGAAGGCTCCTAGCTTCTGCTTTGGTTGTGTGTTGGTGTATGTGTATACACGCACCCATCAGAAGGGAAAATATTGTTAGTTTTGATAGATCTGACTCGTGATGGTCCACATTTTCCTTCTGAAAACATTGTCTACAACAGGTGCCCACTGTCTATTTAAAATTCAGACAGAAACCTTTTTCATGTATAACTTAATATGAGGGGGGGCTGGAGAAACGGCTCAGTGGTTAAGAGCACTGGCTGCCCTTGCAGAGGACCTGGGTTTGTTCCCAGCACCCACACGGTGGGTGGTAACTTCATTTCCAGAGAATATGATGCCCTCTTCTGTTCTGCAGGCAACATATGACATGGGCGCACTAACATACATGCAGGTAAACACTCACACATAAAATATGTTGAAGGCTAGAGAGCTGGCTGCTCTTACAGAGGACCCAGGTTCAGTTCCCAGCACCCACATAGCAGCTAACAAGTCTTCATAACTCCAGTTCTAGGGGATACATGCCTTCTTCTGGCTTTCATGGACATTGTATGACATGGGTGCATGTCCATACATGCAGGCAAACCACTCATACACATAAAACTAATAGATAAAATATTACAAAAAAAAGTTGAAGTATGTGTGTGTGCACGTCCAGGAGCTCACCAGTTCTTCCAACCCCGTGGTGAAATGCCACCTCTGCTCTGCTGTCCTGCCCTGCCATCTGTCTCCTGCCTGTCCTTGACCTTGCACAGTATGTTGGGGGACTGGGCTACTCCCAGCAATGACTCTGGCTCCTTTGTCCTTTCCAGCTTTAACCGGATCGACATCCCACCCTATGAGTCCTATGAGAAGCTCTATGAGAAACTGCTGACAGCAGTGGAGGAGACCTGTGGCTTTGCCGTGGAGTGAAGCACAGCCGGCCGTGCAGTCTTGCTCATAACCACCAGACCCAAAGCAGAGGCGTCTGCGTGCCTCCCGCACAGCAGGCTGAGGCCTGGATTCCAGAAAACCCGAGGGAAAGGCTCCCTCCCTCGTTGGGGGAGGGCAGGCCAGGCCAGGGGGACTCTTGTGGCTCCCACCCATTTACCTTCTTTATTACAGTTCTCCCACCCCCTCCATCACCCATCCAATAAAACGCAGCCAGGTTTTGCCCTCAGCCTCCTTGGCGTGGTGGGAAGGCTGTGGTCTCTGGGAGCATCAAGCCACGGTCAGGGCCGAGCTGGGTCCCCAAGGGTTTGCATGGTCAGTGTACCAGCTCTCCCCTCTCAGTGCAGCCTCAAGACCTCTTTTTGAGTTCAGCAGCTGTCAATAGCTTACCCGAGCTCCAATTCCAGACTTGACATACTAGCAGCCTGTTCCGGGTAGCAGGTGGACTTCTGAGAAACTGCACTGTGGACTGACTAGAATTCCACCATGGCAGGAAGCCCCAGTCAAAATGCGTTTCCCCTTGAGAGGTAAAAGAATCACAGCAGCTTTTGCTGGAGGCCCAGGGTATATGTTTCAGGGTATTCTGGCTGAAAAATGGTTTTGCACAGGAAAAAAAAAAAATCTTTGAATCCCTTCGCTGCATCCTCTACCCACATGCCATGGCACTTAGTAAAGATCCAACAAAACCAGCCTCAGATCCACGGGGTGGGTCCAACACAGACTCCTGTGCCCACTGGGCCTGGAGGATCAACAACTATGTCTTGAAATGTTAACAGACTTTTATGTGGTAATTGCTAAGAGCTAAAACTAACAACAATTCTGTTATCATAACCACTGGACAGAACAGCTGGAGAGGTGGCTAACCTGGGCTCCACGACACAGCTCCCCAGGGTTGGTGCTGTGCACAAAGCAGGGTGTGGTGGAGCCTGTGGCAGCAGGGGGGCGGGGACATCCCCTCACGGCCCTCTCTGCTGGTGGCAATGGTGACACTAACAGTTCACTCAGTTCACTTGCCCAGACATCTTAAGATGAGAAAGGCCAAAGCCAGCCTAAACCCTTCCATTAACACCATTTCTAATTTGCACAAGCATCGCAAAGTGTTTATTTCAACAGAGAGGCTTGGTTTGAGACAGCTGAACTTCCGGGGAAGAGCAGCAACAACCAATTTTTCTGTTTTTGTTTTTTGTGATGGGGGTGAGAACAGGGTAATTAATTCATTAGCAAGATGTACTGAAGTTCAAGTTCAGCTGTGGGGTTCCAGTTGCGTCTGAGAGGATCAGGAAGGCCCTTTCAGACTGCTGGGTTTTGTGTGTACTCTTTTTGTTGGTTGTCCTCAGGCTGGGGGCGGGCGAGAAGCACATTTCCCTCCCAGCCCTGCTTTCGTTCTTTGGCTTGGTCTGGAAGCAGTTCGTGGTGGGACAGGGGAGACTGGATTCTGAGGTCATGTGTCCCACCCCGGACCGAGAGGTCTGCCCAGCTCAGCAGCCGCTGGCTCCAGGGTGAGAGATCTTAGCTGCACTGTGGGTTGCTGAGGTTCTTGGACAGAAAGGATGCCAGGTGGACCTTAACTGCACAAGAGTTGAATCCCGTCTGACCACCCCAGCTAGCTTGGGGCCTTCTTAGTCTTTCAATTTTCTGCCTTGCCCCAAAAGGGCTTCTCCTGTGTCTTGTCCACCTTGCTGCTGAGGGTGTTCTAGAGGCCGGCTCCCCCATGGCTCTCTCCCATCTTCCCTTGCCACCAGCTTCCTCTGAAAGCTGAGGAAGCCTGCGCCCCAGCCCAACCCAAAGGGAGGCAGCTCAACCCTGCAGTGACACCACCTCGTTCTTGAGATCAGAAGCTCTGCCTGATGTTCCGGTGGCATTGTCCCCAGTCCGCAGTGACGAAGGAAACCAGGGTCCCGTGACTTAAGACACACTGCAGGAATGTCGCCTCTGATGCCTTGAGTGTTCCCTTCTGGCTGTCTGGCGGGGCGATGGGGCTTAGGGGCGGCATCCCAGGCCTGTGTCAGGTGTGCCTTGAGCAAGATGCGGAGGTTGGGGCCTGGGCCCCTGTAGGCTGGCTAGGCAGGCACGTTTCCACCTGCCAAGACCTCTGTTCATCTTCTCCGCCTGCAGTTGTGCGTGGGTTTCCCCTCTGCACCACCACCACTGTCACAGCCTTCCCCCAAGCGCATCTGCTCTGCACCCGCAGTTTTCCGTGGGTGGCATTGCACTTCCTCATCCCTCTACCATGGCCAGGCCATTGGAAGCACTTCAAAGGACACCACGTGTCAGGCCCATTGTCCCACCTGGGTGAAGCCACGCTGGCCCCCGGGCAAACCCACCCTTGCCCCTCGCCCAGATGCTTCAAGGACCCGGCTTTCCAGGCTCCCTTCACCAGCGGCCAGCAGCCACACTCAGGGACGCGGCAAACCACCTTCGGAGAGCAGGAGCCGGGCAGCTGGGAAGGTGGGATGACAGCAAGTAGTTGAGGAGAATCTGCCACGGATGGGGTGTTGACCCCTGAGCTGGCTTGTCAAGTTCAGGATGGTGGGCCTCTACCTTGAGCTTTCAGGACTGGCTTTCTATGGAGAACACGCCCCACCTGACCCTACAGCAGCCAGGGGGCGGTGTCGCCCAGCAGCCTTCCGAAACATAGTATGAATTTTAAAAAATCTGTTTATTTTTGTTTCTCAACCACTTTATAATGTATTTTTTAATTTATTTTGTACTGTCTTGTTTTTAAGTATTGCTGCTATCCTTGTTATTCCCACTGTTTTTATGGCCGATTTACTTCTGTGATAGGTGTACACTAATGTTCTGTTTTATGTCAAAATTGAAAGTATTTAAAGAAATACTAGTTCTATTGAATGAGGTTGTGGAACCAGCTGGAAACACAAAACAGAGTGTAGAGCAGGCTGGACCCAGGAGGTCAGGTTCATTTTGTTACATATGCAATAAACTCACAACTTTACATTTTTTGGTGTCTGTTACTTTACTGTGTAAATAAGATCCTGATAAAATTTCACAAGAAAGTCAGAGGTCAGAAATGCTGAGGACAGCCTTTCAAGGAACACGGAGGAAGGTAATGATGGGAGATTGAACAGACTAATGGGAATAGGGTCATGGGAAAAACTGGCTTCAGAAAGTTCTAGGTGTTAACCTTACACATTCATCAGAGCTGTCAGTTTGGGGTTTTTTGTTGTTTTGGTCTTTTTGAAACAGCATTTCCCTGTAGCCCCAGCTGGCCTGGAACTCACTATGTAGACCAGGCCGGCCTGGAACTCACAGATATTCACCTGCCTCTGCTTCCCAAGTGCTGGGACTACAGGCGGGCGCCACCCTGCCTGGCTTTGGTTTTTTGGTTGTTTTTTTTTTTTTTTTAAGGTTTTTTTTTTTGGGGCTGGAGGGGTGGTTCAGGGGTTAAGAGCACTGATTGCTCTTGCAGAGGACCCGGGTTCAATTCCCAGCACCCACATGGCGGCAATGAACCGTCCTTAATTCCGTTTCCACGGGAATCCAATGTCCTCTTCTGACCTGGCATTGTATGACACGGTGCATTCACATACGTGCACGCAATACACTCATAAGGATTTATTTTTATGTGTATGAGTATTTTCCCTGCATGTATGTAAGTACACCATGTGTGTGCAATGCCCACGGAGGGCAGAAGAACATCCATCTCCCCAGACGGGAAAGTGGGAAAGGAAAAACAACAACCAAGGCTGTTCTTCCACGTCCTCTGGGAGCTGCTTCTGCTCTTGTATGTGTGCCCGCGGAGCCCAGAAGGCATGGGTCCCCTGGAGCTGGAGTGGCAGGCAGTTGTGGGCTGCCTACCATGAATCCTGAGAACCGAACTTGGTTTGCTGAAGTAGCAGCCAGTGTTTTTAACCACTGAGCCATCCTTCCAGGCCCAGGTCTGCTCTTTTGTGATCAAAACATTAAAAACTTGCTGTTGGGAAGACAAGGTCCTTAATGCCCATTGTGGCTCCAGCAGGGCCCAGCAGGACACTAGAATAGCTGCCAGGCTGGGGTGGGGACAAGCGCTACTATTACACTGAAGGCTGAAACTGGCCACACTTCAGCCTGACAGCCAGCCCCTTCAGGAAGGTGTAAGCATTCAGATGAGGTGGTCGAGGCTCAGACTTGTCCCTTTTCTAGATGGAGAATGATTCCTGTGTCCCAGTCTCTGCCATCTTCCTCAGTGTCATTTTGGTCACATTTATTTCCCAACTGGGCACTCTGTAGAATACCCTGCTCTGCTGTCTGTGAGGGGACACGTTAGCCCATCAGGCTTTATCTGCTACCCAAAATCAGAATATTCTCAGAGTTTGAGCTCAGTGTTATGGGAAGTTAGAGCTTTAAACAAGTCAAGTCAGACGCTTCTCAATTTAAAACAAGCCTACATTGTGAGAGGCTTGTCCCAAGTCAAAAGTACTGTCCATGAAGGTTCTATGTTGCCCATGGTAACCTAGTTACCGCCCAGCCCACTGGCCCTAACAGTGTACTAAATAAACTGCTTTAAAAATATGGTACATAGGCCTAGAGAGATAGCTCAGCAGTTAAGAGCACTGGCTGCACCTGCAGAGGACTCAGGTTCAGTTCCCAGCACCCACATGGAGGCTAAAAATTATAACTCCAGTTCCAGGGGATCTACTGCCCTCTTCTGACCTCCACAGGCATTGCATGCCCATGGTGCACTTACATGCATTTTTTTCATACAAAATACAAATAAAATTTTTAATAAGTTTAAAAACTGTGAAACTGTATTTCCTAGCTCTTACCTCCCATATGTCAGGATAACGGAGTATGTTGACTGGTCTGCTCTGTGGTCGTGGTGCTGAGGGGAGCTAGAGCTCACTGCACAGGAGTATCACACTGCACATGGCTAACCTGGGAAAGGTCAGTATTCAAAATCTGGAGCAGTTTCCAGTAGTACCTCACGTCCATTCCACTGTGAAGTTAGTGTTCCACTGCCCCCTGCCGTTTTGCTAACTTAACTCTTTGTGGCATGCTCTTATAAGACTTTCTAGTTTGTTCCTTTAACATCCCCCACACACACTCCACACACAACATAAGCTCTGTGACCTCCTTGGGTTTCTGCAGTCACAGCTCCCTTCATATCTGCTTGACTTGGTGGTTGTATACAGATACATACATTTAGATGTTTTTCTGTGTCTGTACCCTCCACAGGCAGCATGGTACTACTGAGGGCAGAGCTAGGACCTGAGACCAAGTCTCAGCTTTGTAACATTACCTTAGCTTGGGCACATTACCTAGCCCAAGATGAAGGTGTCATAGGGGCCCTGGTACAGTTTAACCATGAGTGCTCTGTCAAAGCCTGTTGTAACACATGCCAAGCTCAGCTTTCCACAAAGGTCTAGGTCTCTTTGGCTCCTATACAGAAGGGGGCTGTAGAGACAGCTCAGCACTTCAGAGTACTGGCTATAGTTGCAGAGGACTCGGGTTCAGTTCTCAGCACTCACATGGCAACTAACAACTGTTCATAATTCCAGTTCCAGGAGATCCAATGCTTTCTGCTTGCACAGGGGCATTTACATACATGCAGACAAAATGTTCATACACATAAAATTTAAAACTTTAAAAAGAAAATATAAGGGCCTAGGTAAGTGACAGATCCTTCTCACAGTGGTGGCATCTTAGATGCCAAGATTGGGTCCTAGCAGATCCATGTCTAGTGAAAACCCCACTTCCTGTCATCACTGATGCCACCTTGCTGCCCTCAGCATTAGATGTGAGGGTCTCCCTGAGGTCTTCCCAGAGGGCTCCACCTCCGGAGCAAATCACCTCTTAAAGGCTCACCTACGAAGACCTTGGAAGTTGGCACTTCAACACAGGCATTTTGCGGGGACACAAAAGACACCATGGCTTTCAGCCCCTAGCTCCATCAGTGCACCTCAAGGATAGAGTTGCAGGTTGGTGTCCCTCACCCAACTTCAAGACAGCATCTGTGCCCTGCCTGAGAGCTGCAGCCCCTGGACATGCAGGGGATCAGCTGGGTCACAGCTGCAGATGGATGGCTGGGCCTGATTGAGAAGAACCTTGCTGGTGAGGCAGGGGGCAGTCAGCAACTGGGTGGGTCTTGGGTCTGAATCCAGCTCTGCAGTTGTCAGTGGGTGACAGAGGTATGACCAGGCCTCTGCAAAACCAGATTCATATTTAAGAAGATGGAGATGAGCCAGGCTTAGTACCAGTCACCCCCAGGAACTCTTCTCCAAGGGTTTTGGCTGGCCTGGCACACCCTATAGTGGTCACAGAAATGTCTACACCCAGGTGCTGGATCCTAACCACATAGCCTGGGGCAGAGCCACCTGTCTGTCCCACATACCTGCTTTGGGAGATCCCAGACAGACATCTTTCTCTATGTTAAAGGAATTTTACTGTCTTCTCTTTAAGCCTTATTACCTATAGGTCAGAGAGAGTACTGGGGTTCAAGTTCAAAACTTGTTAAAACTAACAACGCCTATTTGAACAGTAAATGTAAACCTAACACGTTAACTTACTCCATTTCATTCTCTCGATAGTGTTAACATACAATCCTGGTTATTCCCTTAAATACTCCATATACACAACAATGAGATATATCTATTTGTGGTGGTGTCTTTGGAAGCTGACCTCAAACTTACTGTGTAATCAAGGATAGCTCTGAACTTCTGACCCTGCCTCCCCCTCCTCAGTGCTGGGATCACAGGCATGCACCACCATCCCTCGTTTATGGGTGCTGGGGATGGAGCCCAGTGCCTCATGCGTGCTAAGCAAGCACTCTACCCACTGGGCCACATCCTCATTCCTAATAATTTATTTTTAAATTATTTATTTATAATTGTGTGTATGATGTATGTGTGAAGTGTGCATGTATGCCACACTAAACATGTGGAGGTCAGAAGACAACTGTGTGGAGTTGGTTCTCTCCTTCCACCTTTACGTGGGTTCTGGGGATTGAACTCGGGTCACTAGGCCTGTGCAGCAAGCACCTTTTCTCAGCCAAGCCATCTTGCCGGCCTCCTAATGATTTGGTTCTTCTCTCTGGATCTTACTGGTTTTGAAGTGCTTACAGAGTCTTCCTGAAAGTTTTACAGTACTGTGATTCTTAGGAGATGGTATATTACAAAAATGGGAAACTTGGGGCTGGAGAGACGGTTCAGTGGTTAAGAGCACTGGCTGCTCTAGAAAATAATACCAGCACTATGGTGGACTAGGACACTTCAGACTCTCCAATAGTCCCCTACAGAAACACACATGAAGAACTACAGAAGACTAAAACCTCTCCCCTAGGTACTCTACAAACCAGTTGCAGATGCAACCAAGCAAACACACAACCAAGAAAAAGCTATGCTCAAACTAGAAGGGGCTGTCAGGAAGGCTCAGCAGGTAAAGGCACCTGCCATCAAGCCTGAAGACCTGAGTTCGAACCCCAGGACCCACATGGTAGAGAGAACCAACTCTTGCAAGTTGTCCTCTAACCACATTTGCAATGTGGCAAGGACAAACCCACATACATCACATACACAAAGTAAGGAAAAAATACATAAATAGTTTTTAGATAGTAGGAGGCTCTGTTGCACTTTAACACGTCTTTGTCCCACGCCTCCCTGGTTGCTGTGGGCTGCAGGAAGCCATGCCCAGTCCTAATTTCCTATTGTGAAGGAGGAAAAGAAAAGGAAACTGAATTTGCAACACCTAGCCTGTATGTGGACAGCCTAAGGTAAAGGCCAACCGTTGAAAATCAGTAAGCATGGCTAGTAGACAGTCAATGGGGGGTGGGGGGTGAGGACTGGAGAGCTGACTCAGTAGTTAAGGGCACCGGCTGCTCTTGCAGAGGATCCAGGTTCAGTTAGATCCCAGCATCCACATGGCAGCTAACAACTCTAATGCCAGGGGATCTGATGCCCTCTTCTGGCCTCCGTGGGCATTGCATGCACATGGTGCACTTAGATCCATGCAGGCAAAACA